CCAGCCTGCAACAGCAAATTGCGCGCTCATGCGGGTTGCATGTTGTAGGGCGCTACTGATGTGCCATGCACTAAGCTTGGTGCTAGCTCGGTGGTGTGCGAGTGGTTGGGCGTGCCAGCCCGGGCTAGCTAGTGCTAGCAGTAGCTAGCGAGGCCCAGCGTGCTAGCATGCGGCTGGCCTTGCTAGCACGCGAGCTCGACCAGCAAGCCCTAGCTAGCACCCGCACCTTGCGGCCTTGCTAGCGATTATGGCTAGCAGCTCTATATAGCCTAGCCCTCGCTTGGCTAGGCCAATGCGAGGCTACAACTATGTATTAACTTGTTGTTTGACTTTATTTTTCGTCTCGTTGATTCCTCAAATCACTAGTAGATTAAAGTAAATGGGAAGCCTAAAATGGGGAGCGGTTATTGAATTCCTCTTCCAAAAACACCTAAAAAAAAACCAAATCAAGCAAATGGGGAGCGGTTATGGGTGAACCGCTCCCAAATAGTGTAATTGGAAGCGGTTTGAACAGTGAACCGCTTCTCATTTGCTAAAACATGCCTAACAATAATACCCCATCTTCTTCCCTCTCCTCCCTCCCCTTATTTCTCACGCCATCTTCTTCTCTCTCCTCTCATTTCTCACGCCTCATTTCTTTCTCCTCTCTCCCCTCCATTCTCACGTCCTTTCCTCTCTCACCTCCATTCTCACATCCTTTCCTCTCTCCATCTCCTTCTCTTTCTGCTCTCTCTTCTCCTTTCTCAAGCTTCCCTTTCTTTTCTCCCTCCTCTTATCACCGGCCACAACAACCACCCACCAAGCAACCACCGAGCAGCCCACAACAACCCACCAATCAACCACCAAGCAGCCCAAATCAAGCAAATCCGAGCAAAAATCGAGCCAATTTGAGCCAAAATTGAGCAGCTCCGAGCAGGTGGTGGTGCGTGTGGGAGGTGGGGTTTGGTGGATGGTTTTTTTTTTTTTTTTTTTTTTTTTTTTTTTATTTTAAAATTTGACCATGGAGTTCTAGTTTTTTAGGTAAGAATTTAGATCTAATTTTATGTTTTTTCAAATTACATATTCTATATGAATTTCTGAACGGGATTTATGTTTTTAAATCTGGTTTTATGTGTTTAGAACTATTTTTATGTTATTTACCAACATGGTTTTGGGTCTTTCTGGGTTCGTATTGATTAATACCGAAATTTTTTTTTTGGGTTTTTTTTTTTTTTTTTATTTGTTGATTGTAGATAAAGATGTTCATGTTTTCTGGGGTTGTGTTGCTGGTATCAATTAATGCAAATATGAATTTAGTTGTAAATGAAGTTTTTAATTAAATTTGTTTTATGAGTATTTCAATTTAATTTTGATTTTTGAATGTTGGATGCGAGGTGGCGTCGGTTGCGATGGTGGGCTGCTGGCTTCGGTTGTGGGGGTGGGCTACTAGCGTCGGCTGGTGGCGGACTGGTGGCTTCGATTGCGGTGGTGGTGGAATAGGGTGGTGGTGATTTTGATTGTATTTTTTTTGGTGTTGAATTATAATGTAATATTACAATTAATTATTAATGGAAATATAAATTTTTATACATATGTTTTATATTTGTGTATTAATTTACGTTAAAAATCAAATTCTTTTTTTTAATTTTTAAAGTCATAATGGGAAGCGGTTCAGCATTAAACCGCTTCCCATTCCCTTCAAATGGGAAGCGGTTTGAACCGCTTCTCATTTAAAGTGACAATGGGAAGCCCCCTAATGGCAAGCGGTTCAAAAACCGCTTCCAATTATGGTTTTGAACCGCTTCCCATTTACTATTTTCTACTAGTGAATCGACTCGACTTTTGACGCTCGGCTTCGACGCTCTAAGCTCAAAATCCGACGTCTTAGTTCGTAAAATCACTATCGTCTTATTTAATCCTCAGGATTAATTCGTTGCCTTGGTTCAGTTACACGTTTGGGTGTGACCCGAAGGGTTCAGTCAAGAGCAAGCTGTAATATTAATTATACATTAATATTACTAATCGAAAGCGGCCTCCAGCTAGGCATTCCGATCACTTAACCTCAATGAATAATTAGCTTTCTGATGGGCGTTAGAACGGTCGCACATTCCATACTCATTCAAACACATTTATAAGTAAACATCTCACAAACCAAGCACAATGATAAGTAAGAGTTCGGTCCACAAGGAATGGGATATAATCGCTAAAGATCTTAATACGCAAGCTAGTTCGAAGACTTTTGTTGATTGGGGGTTCGTCAAGTAGACAAACAAACTATTTTTCTAAATCAAGTAATTAAAAGTACTAGGGAATGGGATCCACTCAACCATGGTAATCAAGCGTATTGGGAGCAAATGGAGACAAGAGATAGCAAGGACTATATGTAAGACCAACCTCATGCAAATAGGAAAGCAACTCACACTCCTAAACTTAGATCCCTCATTAGTTTAGCAATAGGAGATACATAATCAAATTGCAATAAGTAATGACATGCTTAATGTACATTTCCATGTCAAACTAAGCATAACATGCCATCAAGCTCCAAATTCTAGGGTAGCTACTCCTATCATGAAGAACTAACAAGCAATCTCATACAATCAATTTAATCACAAATCAAACAACAATACTTCTCCCAAGTTTACTTAATTAACCATTAGGTTGAGTTTCACCCAACCCCTAGGCAAGAGGACTACTCACAATTCATTTTGAGTAAGATGCAAAGCTCCAAGTTGGAATTCTAAGTGATTCTAAAATTGGGGAAAAGTGATTCACTATGGATAAAACTAACATGCAACAACAATTTATCAAGAAAAAGAGAGATTCAAGTGACTTGCAATAACAAAATAAAATCAGAAAATAAGTAGAGACAAGAGAAATAAGTTACTATTGAAGCTTCAAATGTTGAATAAATGCTGAAAATATGAGAATGAACCTTGAAATTTGCTTCTACAATGATTAGATTTGAGAGTTTCCAAACTAGATCATCAACTAATTTAGTGAACTAAGGTGCTAACTAAAAGAAAGTTTTTTGCTGAAAACTATTCTACTGTTTTCTAAAAATCTCCCCTAAAAACGATCTAAAAAGGAACTTAAATAGTCCGTACAAAGTCGGTTGAGATCGGGAAAAGGTCCGATCGAACTCTGGGTAGGTTTGGTTGGACTCAGGGTAGGTTCGGTCGAACTCTGGGTAGGTTCGGTCGAACCTCCTTGATCCTTGTTTGGTCGAACTTTTGAGGTTCGACCCCTCCTGCAAAATTGCTGAAAACTGGTTTGAAACTGCCTCCTTTGTGTTAGGTTTTCAAGTAATTCAAGACAAGAATTACTAATAAATGTGGGAACAAAACCTAAAATGAAGTATAATTCAACTAGATTATACAACAATCAATATTATTCAAAATATTACAACCAACACCAAATTATCAAAGTATTACAAAAAATACTAAGAAAAACACTAATGTGAAAGATATTACACTTGCCTCAACTCCAAGCCTTTGAGAACGAACATGAACATGAGAAATACTATGACCACTTGAGTCTCAATCCTTGATACACTGTCTTAGGCGTGTGAACACTTTCCTAAAGAGTTTAATTTCCCCCACAACGATGCTTGGGTTTAATCCGGAAATACTCTTTGAGATACAAAAGACAACCAATCGTTCTTTGCACTAAGAATCGAAATAAAGATGACTAATTCACAAAATTGGATTAGTTGAAAGAGTTTTCTCACAAAAATTTGCAAGAAATTTGAGAGAAAAGTGTAGAGAATACTGCTTGGGGAGAAGAAGAAAATAAGTGTCCACTTTTCTTCACGAAATAAGCCTTTTAATAAAAGACTCAACCGTAAAAAAAAAACCGCAAAACAAGGAGGCGCGGGCGCTCCACCAGGAGGCGCGGGCGCACCATCAGGTGGAGCGGGCGCTCCTCATCAGAAATGCGAAATTTCCACAGGAAGGCAGAAGGGGGCGCGGTTTAGGCGCGACTTGACGCGTGGGCGCGCCAACCTTACCCTTCCAAAGTTCCGAATTCCAGAGAGGTACGCGGTTTAGGCGTGCTCTCTACGCGACCGCACTTAACTTGCGCGGGCGCTCCTTCATGGTCGCGATCGCGCAACCATCAACACACTAAATAATCAACAATCCTCCCCCATTTAGAGTGTTCCTTTAAAACATTCTCCACTTCTAACAATTAAACCACATCTTATGCATCAATGTCAATGTTCCTTCGGATTGAATTGACACCTAGTACAACACACTTAACGATGATCATATCCCATGATTTCCATATGGATTGAATCACACGGATATATCCAACCATTCGAAGGTGAAGTACACACAAGACAAATCGAATTAATCATCACTTGACACTTTTATACAGCCATGTGTCCGTATCTTTCATAAGTTCATCAACGTCTATATGTCCATCTAGACTTCTTGAAGCGGCTAAACTTCGAACTCATATAGGTAGGTTCTCATATACGCTATGGTGTCCTTGTGATAAAACACCTTCATTTAGAGCTTCTCAACTCTAAATCTTTGAGAACTTTAAATAAACGTTACCTTACACATCACAAGTAACATAACAAGATGGGCCATCAAATATTGCTATCAAACAACAAAAATGCAATTCAACCACATTGAATCTAAGACTTGATGTTTCTTCAAGCGTTAGATTGGGTTTCACAACACTAGGCGAAAACACGTAATCCGCACCAGTTCAAAACCCCCATTTAGCACCGGTTTGGAACCGGTCCTGATTTGGGGGGTGCTAAAACCCTAGACATTTCGCACCGGCTCAAAATCGGTGCGAAATCAGACTTTTGGCACCGGTTCTGGTCTTAGAACCGGTGCCACAAGTCTCCAAAAAGATTTTAAAAAAAAACTTTGCACCGGTTCTTTCCAAAACCGGTGCCAAAAATGCCCAAAAAAATAAAAAAAAAATTTTTTGCTTTTTTTTTTCACTTAAATTGATATATAAACACTAACATATATATAAAATTACATATTTTCATTAAAAATAAGCCGTAATATTACAATTTTCGTCCAATAAAATAAAATAAAATAAAATATGTTTGTTTTTCTCCTGTGGTGTTGCTGCTGCTTTGGTTATGCTGCTGGTTGTGTGCTGCTGTTGCCATTGCTGGTTTGTACTGCTGCCTGAATCAACATGCAGAACCACGAAAAAGAATCAGAACAAACACACTACATATGTAGGAGTAAATTACAGCAGGGTACACTTACATCAGCTGATTGTCTGTTTAAGTAGTAGCTGATTGTCTGTTTAAGTAGTAGCACTTTCAGTAGTAGCTGATTGTCTGTTTAAGTGTGAAACCCCAAACATTCTCTGCAGAATGGCCAGGAAACTTAGTCAACTTAGTGAGCTATGAAAAATCAATGCAGAAATGTGGATGCAACATGCAACTACACAAATATAAAATTATAAGAGAAAAAGTAGAAATTCAACACTATGTTTAGTCAAAGCACAACCACATACCGGAAAGAAATCAGCCTCATATGCTGCCCAGAAACATATCGCCGTCATCATTGCCAGGAACTGCCAATGACAATTCCAGTGGCAAAAATCTCAGAGAGCTTCCAGCAGCTGTCTGGCATAGGAGATGGCTTCACCCTATCCTTCGATATGGTCATAATGGTACCTGAAAGCCAAAATCATAGTCAATCAGCAAGAAAAGCACGCCACATATATTTGAGAAGCTATTCAATGGAACAATTGATTTTAGGAATAAGGTATATACAAAACTTCCACATAAAAGGATCAGTTTCCAAGTCATCAAAGTTGCTTTTGGAACAATTTTCCATAGTAATCATTCCTTCCTCTGATAAGGAAAATGGAGTATTCATCTGTAATTCTGTAATACTAGAGAGCTGGGAATTAAATGTCAGTTTTTCTTTAACAGATGCGCAATACTGGACAAATTTCTCACCCACATTTTTCACAATCTTTCTTTCATTTTTGTAACTAAAAAAACAAGAATAAAGTACTAAAAACCTGAAATTCAGGCCACTTGGAACATATAATAATTTAATAATGAATCTTTTGGTCACATGAAATGAGAATCAAGTCTTGTAAGATTGATTAGCTTCATTTTATAATACTAGTTAAAGTTAGCTAGATCATTTCCAACATGCAAGCGAATCACAGAAACCCGATAAGTCATTATAAATTTAGTACTGATCATGTGCATGAACAAAGACATGAAAAGGCAGAAACAGGATTTAGTCACTACTAGACTTGTTCAGCTTAAAGGAATTAAGTTCGGCAAGCTTGCAACATTGAGCTGTAATGCTGTATTGTACTTTTCTAATGGTGAATGGCATGTTTCCTGGTTCACCACCAACCTGGAGACAGACTGAAATAAACCCAACAGATCTCAACATACAACTGACAAGGGTCGTCTTGGCAGTTCTCTGAATCTAAAGTGTCATTTTCAAGGTGACATGCAGGATGATCACAATAAATTTTTCACTCAAAGATCACAAACGATTCTAACATCGACATTGATCGGCTTTCTGCAAACTATAATAAAACGCAAACTTGGATCCACATATAAAACAACCATACTTTTATTAACAACCATTGATAAACTCTGTTATCCCCTCCCTAGGAGCAATACATATATGTAGCACAGTTATTGAGCCATTCTAGTTCTAGAGCATACATAAAGTTAATACGATATATAAACACCATCACCCTAACAAAGAATTCATATAACATGAGTTCATAGTAGGATGCAGTCACCACTAGTTCTGAGGCTTACCTAAAATGCAGCAGTCATTTCACCTGTACGAGTATGGACATTCCAGGACACTTGAAGCATCATCAGACTTTCCAGAGTCGAGAGCAACAGCAGCAAATATTGCACGGAAAGCACCACAAACTATGGCAGGAGTGGTACAGTTGGTATTGTGAGAGACTCTGACTATTTTGTGCAATCCCAACCTCATCCCATCCACAGGACATGAGGACTCCACATTACATGCCTTTGCTATCACACGATTTAGAGTTTTTGAAGAAATATCCATATCATTTAGAAGATACCTAAAGGACACAGATGTTCTATGATGCTCGTGCCTAGAATGCTTAGTGCTCGGTTGTTCTCCTCAGAAAATGAAGCATGGGTCATTGCACGTTGAAGAAGATCAATGCGATGAAAAGTATAGCTGAAATAAAAGAATCCAACCACTATAACTATTCCATGAACAATATGGAACTAATCATATAGAAAGAAAACTCAAATGACAACAGAGTACACGTTTTTGAGCTAACATACAGTTATTGATGATTGAGGGTTCATCCCATCAGTTTCTTATCAATCATCGCATATTCTCTTCTCAATTCAAAAAACCTTACACTGACAAGCTCAGATTGTTTCTAGAAAAAACAAGACTACTTTAATTAAAACATACGACTATATCACAAGAAAGGTTTCGAGTACCTTCAATGCTTTTAAGAACTTGGAAGTGCCACTCTGTGCAATAGTTCCCAAACAATCAACAAGCTCCTCTTTTGTCATTCCAATTACCAGTATCCTTAAAGATTGAGATACATACAAACTCAGAATTCGATAATTAATGAAATTGCAGCATATCGACGGAATGAATGCATACCTAATCGTGATGGTCCCATTATATGGATCAGGTTTGATGCGTATTTCAAGCTCCCCTGCTTCCCCGAGTAGAGAGGGATCGGTCACACTTGAAAATCTTATCATTTCCTAGCTTCCATAATTGCTGAGGTCTGCATATTTGGAGTAGTTTCACCTAGAGGAAAAAAATCAGGAAAAAAAAACAAAACAATTGTATCAGGCAATTACGTAGACATGCTGTCAATATCAGGATCAAAATCTTGCAAAGCAATTTACCAAAAGTTCCATTGTTGTCCACTACACGAGACCTGACAAGTTTTATCAATTCATTTGCTTCTTTCCTGGTCAGAGAAAACATCAACTGACATGAACATACAACTTCAAATTGAACTATAGCATATTAGATGGTATAACTATCATCACAGAATTAAATGTTGAGTAAACTGATAAAAAGATATGAAGTCGACCATATCTGCTGTAAATGCCAGACAGCAAAATGGGGAATAAGTTGATTCAGTTAATTGTTGCCTGAAGTTAATTGTTGATTCCAAATTTTCTGCCTCTTTCTCCTTTCTCCCCTCACTCTATTTATACTAATGCTAAAGACTATTAACCTGATAATACATTGGAATCAGTTATTTATACCCTTATGGCTAGCTAAATTAGCTCATAGGATGGAGCTGGCAACTATTCAATTTTCTGGGAAGCTATTTGGAAGACGAGCAAGAGGAGCAATGAATTGAAGAGAACGGTGAACTGATATATAAAGAGGTGTGACTATTCATAATCATGAGTTTCCAAGCAATTAAATTTACTTTCTAATGCAAGCAGAAGTATCATCATAATTTCAAACTATTTGTTCATTTAAGATTTTTAAAAGTAATTGAAATTTTGATCATTTGCCATTACTGCAGGCAACAATACCTTGCCAAACCGGATAATGAGAGAAGCTATCCCAGGATGCATATGCTCGTATATTTATCACTACAAAAGATCATGTAATAGATTAGCTCAAATGATTATATTTTTATATTGTATACGAAGTACTCTGTATAAAGTAATGAAAAATAAAAGTCAGAGGGACCTTCTAGCCAGGGATTAACCAAACTTAAAGCTGAGCATGACTTTGTGTAACATTTACAGCTTGTATAGATGTATGATATAGGGTATACTATTGCTTACAAAGGATGAATTACCATAAAAACGAGATATCGAAGGAAGAAATACCATGAAGGAAATTTAATCCATACAAGAATCAAGTACTAATTTATCTAAAGCTTTTCCTGATTAGAGATGGCAATAGCCATAGAGGGTATACTACTACTTACCGAGTTAGCAAAGATACTTTTAGAAGATATTAAAACGATACACTAGTCTTTAGTATATGCATTTCGGCTGTCAAAATTTGTTCAGAATAACTATATGCATGAAAAAATTTAGTAATCATGCAAATGCAGAAGGGGATTCTTCTTTTTCAGAAAAAAGGTCTAACTACCAAGAGCATTATTCACATGAATATTGTTTTAACTTTTTAGCTCCAAATCAATTTTGAGAGAAGAAAAAACAGAGCACATTGAAGTTTATGAAACCATATTAATGGTAATCTGGGCTTCAAGCCTTCAACACAGTGAGCTCATGTGCAATTTACCTTTGGAAAGCCTAACTATGGTTAATCTTTGTAGTGCTGCACAGGTAGCATTGAGTGTGGTAGTAGTCACTTCTTCCTCTAAACCCTTACCATAACAAATGCTTTAACTTTGCTTTTGAAGACTATCTTTCTCATATAATTCTTCTAAGTTCAGTAAACTCTTAAATATCTTGAACTAATACGAAACAATCTTGTTACAACTCTTACAAGCAACTTTGAAATTAGTTTAATAAGAACAAACTTTCTACCTAACATAAATTCTTGAAATTAGTTACACCACAACAGCTTTGCACAATTGCATCTCATTTCTTGCAATTTTATCCAATATTATACGAGTAATGACCAACATAAATCAAGCAGCTCATTACACCACAACAGCTTACATAATTGCAATTTTATCCAATATTACAACACAACAGCTTTGCACAATTTCATCTCATTTCTTGCAATTTTACCAAGATCAGCACATTCTCATTTAGATGCCATATAAGATTGAGAAACTACATAAATTGGAGTACTAATCAGTTTTTGTATTTCGCACTTAATTAGTTCAAAAGACCTTGATCTGTTTGATTAATGCTGTAATTCTATCATAATATGAGTATCATATATAGAAGTATTCAGTTTCGCAAAATTTGATTACAACAAATCAAATAACGTCCAAAGTTTTAGCACAAACTACAAGTAAAAGGACCTCAATGCAATAGGGACAACAACAACAATATTTGAAGCTAATATCTTCAGTTTCCTATCTTTGAAATATCCCTGCCAAAAACTAGAGTGGTTGCCCAGTTTACAGCAACATAGAATCTGTTTCTCCAGCTAAGTACACGCGTTAGATATGCTGAGCGCCAAATCAGAAAGCTGAGGAACCCAGCAATGGAGAACCATCAAGTTCATAAACAAATGCCCAAACGAGAACCATCAAGTTCATAAACAACAGCAACAATCAAAACCCTAAAACAATTTACTATTATTGAATGCACAACTCGAAATTAAAGTCACAACAGTAAACCACAAAGAACAGAAAACCCTAAATCAACAACTAACCCTAGATTGCGAAGGAATTCAATAGATTAGGAAGACCACGAAATAAATCTTACCTCGAAGCTGCTACAATGGAGTTGGAAAGCTCAGAATGCGCTTCAATGGAGGTGAGAAAGCTCAGCAGAATGCGCTTCAATGGAGGAGAGCTATGGAGAGAAAGAGACGAGTTGCGGCAATGGAGGTGAGAAAGCCCAGAATGCGCTTCGATGGAGGACGTACAGCTATGGGGAAGGTAGGCGACAACGAGGGGGGTGCGAATTGAATGTGGAAAAGCTAGAAGGGGAATGAAAACTGAATTGAAGGAAGAAGAAGATCGAATTTCACGATTAAGTGGTTTTTTTGTTTAATTTACAGCACCGGTTCGAACCGGTTGTAAATGATTTTTTCCACCTGTTTGGTCTAAACCGGTGCGAAATCCCTCTTTCCTTTTTTTTTAATAAAAACATTTAGTACCGGTTCAAACCGGTGCGAAAACCAAGATTTGGCACCGGTTTATAAGGAACCGGTGCGAAAAGTAATTATCCAAATTCCGCCTAATTTTTTTCCCACCGGTTTTTAAGAACCGGTGCGAAAAGGGGGGTGCCTTTTTCATTTTTTCTACTAGTGCAAATTCGTGTTTTTGGACATAAACCCATTCCATTCATGGCAAATATAATGGAATGCTTTGGCATAGCCTTTGTAAAGCAATCCGCCAAATTCAACTTTATTGGAACATAGTCAAGACTTATGACTCCATCATTGATAAGCTCTTTCACTAGGTTATGCCTAAGTAAAATGTGCCGAGACTTACCATTGTACACTTGACTATAAGCCTTTATCAACGTCAAATTGGAATCACAATGGATTGCCACCGGTGGCATCGGCTTAGGCAATAAAGGTAACTCTATCATGAGATTCTTCAACCACTCAACTTCTTTACTAGCTGAAACAAGAGCTATAAACTCCGCTGCCATAGTGGAATCGGCAATGCAAGTTTGTTTCTTGGAAGACCATGAAATGGCACCTCCCCCAAACATGAATACCCAACCACTTACAGAAGAGTCATCCTCTTTGTAAGTGATCCAACTTGCATCCGAAAATCCTTCTAAAACTGAAGGAAATCCACTATAAATTAGACCATAGTCTAACGTACCCTTAAGGTATCTCAAGACCCTCCGAACTGCAAGCCAATGCTGTGCACCCGGGTTACTAGTAAATCTACTAAGTTTTCCCACAGCCAATGCAATATCAGGTCTTGTTCTTGTCATGGCATACATCAAGGATCCAATTATCCTTGAATATTTTAATTGGGAAGCCGTTTTCCCCGAATTCTTAACCAATTTAATATTAGGTTCCATGGGGGTGTTCACGGGACACTTATCAAACATATTAAACCGTTTGATCATCTTCTCAATATAATGAGATTGACTTAGGATAAGTCTTCCATTGTCCTTAATAATCTTGATGCCCAAAATGACATCCGCCTCCCCCAAATCCTTTATCTGAAACGATGAGGATAAGAATTCCTTGGTCAATTCTACTTGTTGTAGACTTGTACCAAAGATAAGCATATCATCAACATATAGACAAATGATGACACCATGACCTTTGTCATCAAATTTGCCACTGTTTTGGTGCTTGTTTAAGTCCATACAATGACTTAATCAATTTGCACACCTTATCTTCTTGTCCTTCCAAAACAAACCCTTCAAGTTATTTCATGTACACTTCTTCCTCTAGATCTCCATAAAGGAATGTCGTTTTGACATCCATTTGATGAATCACTAGATTATATACCGAATCCATTGCAATCAATAACCTTATGGAGGTAATTCTTGCAACCGGTGCATAGGTATCGAAATAATCAACACCATGGTTTTGCCTATAGCCTTGGATAACCAATCTGGCTTTAAATTTTACTATGGAGCCATCCGGTCTCCTTTTCCTAGTGAAAATCCACTTCCAACCAAGAGGTTTGCAACCGGGAGGTAAATCCTTTATGACCCAAGTATTATTTCCCATGATGGAATCCATCTCATCATTTATAGCTTCCTTCCAAAATGCACTATCTTGACTAGATATTGCCTCACTATAAGTCTTTGGGTCACTATCAACATTGAAACAATATGGAGTAGTGGAACTAAGGACATCCCTAGATCCTTCAACCAAATAAATTATGAAGTCATCTAGAGGATTCCTAATTTTCCTTTCCCTAGTACTTCTCCTCACTTGAGGAGTTTCAACATTTTCATTATCAAATGTACTTTCATGAGTTTCAATTTGATCATTCAACTCTACTATCTCCCTATCATTGGCACTAATTTGTAGATCTTTCAGTCTACTCATTGATGAAAATCGTTTTTCATCAAAAATAGCATCTCTTGACTCAATAACTGAATGAATCGATATATAGTCATTTTGTTCTATTACATAGAACCTATATGTTTTGCTATGCTCAACATAACCTATAAAAATGCAATCCAAGCCCCTTTCACCGAGCTTTCTTTTCTTGTTGCCGAGCACTCTTACGATTGCCCTACAACTCCAAACCTTGAGATACTTCAAGTTTGGTTTTCTTTTGTACCAAAGTTCATAAGGAGTAGATTCTTTTCCCTTAGTGGGAACCCGGTTAAGAATGTGACAAGTTGTCAACATTGCTTCACCCCAGAACCCTTCACTCAAACCAAAGTAAGATAACATGGAATTAACCATTTCTTCAAGAGTTCTGTTTTTCCTTTCAGCTACACCATTTGATTGTGGTGCATAACCAGCTGTAGTCTCATGAATTATACACAAAGATTGGAAATATGCTTGATCATAGTATTCCCCTCCCTTATCAGTTCTCATTCTCTTAATAGATGAATCTACTTGCAATTCTACTTCTCTTTTATAAATATCAAACTTTGTTAAAGCTTCATCTTTGGAATGCAAAAGATACACATAACAAAACCTAGAATAATCATCTATAAACGTTATCATATATCTTTTGTTCCCCAAAGAAGGAGTACTATGAAAATCACACAAGTCATTATGGATTAGTTCTAAAATATTAGAACTTCTCTCAACTCTCTTAAAAAGAGTTCTAGTGATCTTATTCAACATGCAAGTAGAACATTTATTAGGAGAAATATCACAAGAAGGAATCAATTCTTGTTTGGACATAAAAAGCATTTTATTATAATTCACATGTCCTAATCTAGAATGCCATAAGTCAAACAAACTCAAATCAACATGATTATCATTGACATCAACATTCAAACATAAACCAACATCAAATACATACTTGTCTTTCAAAGAAAGTTTAAACAAACTATTTTCCAAATAACAACGACCAACAAATGTTACACCCCTAGTAATTATGCATCTATTAGCTTCAAATACAAGCTTATAGCCAAGACTATTCAGAGTAGGCACGGATACAAGATTCCTACTAATTTCCGGAGCATACAAAACATTCCTAAGAATTATTGCAGTCCCCGAACTAAACACAAGCTCAACTTGTCCTCTTCCAAGAACCTTGATGGTAGAGTTGTTCCCCATGTAGAGGTCTTCTCCATCAACAACCTTTTGAAAGGTTTTGAACCAGTTTTTACTCTTAAATACATGCCTTGAAGCCCCCGAATCAATCCACCATGAGTCATCATCCTGCACCATAAAAATGTTAGGATCCGTTGCATTTAAATCCAAACCGGAATTAAATTCAACCTCATGAATTGGATTACCTTTGGTGGGTGGGTCCTTGCTTTCATTAGCATGACCCTCCTTGGATTTCTCCATCCTTTTCTTAAAAGAAAAGCAGTCCTTTTTGCGGTGACCAACCTTACCGCATTACCAACAAGCAAACTTGTTATTGTTTGCTTGCCTTTTGGACTTTCCTTTGGAAGAATTATTATTCTTCCTCTTTCCACTAGTAGATGCACTAGCTCTCCCTTCATCTACCATGTTCACGGTAGATGTGCTAGGATTTCCATCCTTAGCTCCTTCCATGGCACGAATCCCTTCTTCAATTTGAAGATGGGTGGCCAAACCGGACAATGTCATGTCCTCTTTCTTGTGTTTCAAGTCATGCTTAACACTTTTCCAACTAGGGGGTAACTTATCAATGATACTAGAAACAACAAACAATTCATTCATGGCTATTCCATGTTGTTCCAAGCTACCATATATACGTTGCAATTCATGAAATTGGTCCATTATGGATCGACCATCAACAAATTTAAAATTATTAAAATTGCTAAACAAGAATTTCTTACTTGAAGCATCTTCCGCCATATACTTGCTTTCCAAAGACTCCCAAAGCTCCTTGGCCGACTCAATGTTTTGAAAAACATCAAACAAGTCATCCTCCATACCATTCAAGATATGACCACGACAAATGAAATCATCATTGTCCCATTTCGATCTCTCCCGAACGGATTCCAAGGTCTCATTCTCATGTTCATCCGGCCTTGGAGTACTAATAACATAGGCTAAATTCAAAGATGTAAGAAGAAAATACATCTTCTTCTTCCATCTTCGAAACTCCACATCGTCAAACTTTTTAAGTTTAACAAAATTTGTGGTTAATTCTTTCACACTAGACATGCTTGATTAAATTCTAAGAATTAAACTCTTTATATTGTTAGGTTTTCAAGTAATTCAAGACAGTCAGACAGGAACTAGGATGGATGTGATTGCACCACCTCTGTCTGAGATGAATGTTATCACAAAGCAAGCTTCAGGGCCTTCTGGGGAGATAGTGACATCTTCTAAATCTTCAACAACATTTGGTAAGAGAATTCCAAGGACTACAACTAAGAGGAGGGGATTGATTATTAGAACAAGTTCTGCTGAAGCAACTGAACCCTCAAACCAACTTACTGTGAGTTTGGGTGGAGATGGAGCTATGCTGAGTGATGAAGAGGATGAAGGGGATGTAGGGGATGGAGCTATGCTGAGTGATGAAGGGGATGAAGGAGATGAAGGGGATGTGGGGGATGGAGGTGATGGTTAATTTGGTTTTGAAGAAGGAGATGATCACGAAGATCTGAATGTAGATCATGAAAATGAAGATGAAGATGATATGGATACTTTTGATGATGTATGGGCAGTTGTTGACAACTTTGATCCTTGGGAAGGCCCTGTGTGGGATAATGACAATGACTGTGAAGATTACTTTGCAAATTTGTATAAAAATGAAGAGTTGTACAATGAGGAGGAGTTTGGCAAAATTATCATCAAACCATGGCAATTATTTACAGATAAACAACACTTGAGGGATGTTGTGAGGGATTACTGTAGGGTTTCGTAGTGA